CTATAGTCACCTTTCCAATAATTACAGTGAGACCCAAAAGCAAGGTGGTTCGTGAGCCCATTTCTAAATGAGAATCAAGACAGACTGTGGGGTAGAAGATAGTTAGGATGTTTTGAAATCTTACCCCCTTTAAGTGGTATTACATCCCTAAAAGTGCATGCCAATTTTTACGATGTTTTCTCTGTTTGCTGATCCATACCATAGATATCATGGCAAAATCACAGTGAATCAGATCAATGTGGCAGTTACAGGTTGAGAGACAAAATCATATTTACTTTCATATTCTTTGATTTGTTTTCTATCCCTGTTGTGTATTCCCCAAATTGTAAATATTTCAAAGATTTGTTAAAAAAAAACAAAAAAACGAAATTAAGTAAAAAAAAAGAAAGTAAAACTCTGGCCTTCTTCACCTTTTTTTTTTTTTTCATTTTTAAATTACTTATTGTTAAATATGTCTAAAATAATATATTTTACAAAATGCACATATTTGTTCTTATACAGTTACTGTCATGATTTTTTTCAAGCTGACCCAAACTCACTTATTCGAGCCCTTACAGAATAAAGCAGGGGGGCTGTTTGATCCAGTATTAGGGTGCGCCCATCTCTAGCGCAGTCTCTGCAAACAGGCATTGGACAATTTAGGCTTGTACCTGCAAGCCTCTAAGTCCACCCACTACGCAGGAAGAGCAAGGAGCTTATTTACCTCTCTACAAAGAATTTTGGTTTGTTCCTTTAATAAAGAGACTTTAGTCGCAGTTTTTAAGCACAGACAAAACTTTTTTCTCTATAATTCTGTTAATTTGGTTCAGAAAAAAGTCTGCGCCTCTTGTAGTGTAAAATCCCAAAATGTTTACAGTGCCTTTGGCGCCACCTACTGGACATTTGATGGGTATTACTATGCCAGTCTCTAATCCCAGTACATTGAATTGTGCAATAATCTATTATTAGCAGAAGCATCTAATGGATGAATTACTTCCACAGGCATGAATACAGTAGCAAGTTTAAGATACATATTTTTTAATAAGCATTATGCTTGCATTTTATATTTAAAATGTTCTGTATCAGCTGCTTCAGGAAACTATTTTGTAGAAAGCACTTAAGTTTGCAAAACAGGGAGCAATGCATGGGCGGCTTAGCAATTGCTTAATTAAATTGTTCGTCAGCAGGAAATGAAATGAAAACACAGAATTGTAATGATAAGGAATAAAAAACATATGTATATACAATATCCTAAGTAAATAACTGAAATTCTCAGCGTGTTTTTGCAATGTTTGGGATTCATTAAAACAGTGCATAGAATTGTTCATCATTGTGTATTGCAAGGTTAATATTTTAAAGACTGAGTTTTAATGATTTTGTTTGTTAGTTTTTGTTCAATGTTTATTTCAATGTATTATTTATGTTTTTGTTAATATATGCCAGAATTATTTAATGTTTTTGTTTGCTAGCATTTTCCTTGTTTTTGTTTATTTAAATGTAATGTTTATCATGTCTTTTGTGTTTTAACGTGTCTAGTAATTTTGTTTGCATTTTTGGACTTTAGTATTTTTGTTTGTGTTTTTATATTTTTTGTTTGTAGCCTTCTTAACTTTTTTTGTTTTGTTGGTTTTTACTTTTTCTCAGTTTTTTTGTATCTCATTGTGTATGTCTTCTTGTTACATAGAACGTGTGGCCCAAAACAAGTAAATGGAGACTCAATATAGCCAAGCTTGGTAGGGCAGGGATTAATGATCGCTGGGCTCTCACAATCAGGGCAGTTTGTTCACCCAACCTACACTCATTTTCCTAAATACACTAATTCCAGTTATAGTCTGGGCTTGTGTGTAAAGTAGCCCTGAATTCAAATGGGCAAAATAAGGGACTAAATGGGAGAAACACAAACAAGAGTGAGTAAGGACCAGCTATGGGCACTAGTCATGTTTCAGTGTTTGCAGATGACACAAAACTTTGTAAAATAATACAATGTGAGCAAGATATTACTTTGCTGCAGAGGGATTTAGATAGACTGGGGGACTGGGCACTCAAATGGCAGATTAAATTTAATGATGAAAAATGCAAAGTTATGCACTTCGGCGTAAAGAATACACAAGCAACGTATACCCTTAATGGAAGCGAATTAGGGATAACAACACACGAAAAGGACTTGGGAATTGTTATAGACAACAAACTATGCAACAATGTGCAATGTCAATCAGCAGTGGCCAAGGCCAGTAATTTATTGTCATACATGAAAAAGGGCATTCAATCTCGGGACGAGAATATAATTTTGCCTCTTTATAAATCACTGGTAATACCCCATATTGAATATGCTGTGCAATTTTGGGAACCTGTTCTAAAGAAGGATATTACGGCACTAGAAAAAGTGCAGAGGCGGGCTACAAAATTAATAAAAGGAATAGAACATATCAGCTATGAAGAAGGGTTAACAAATTTAAACCTATTTAGTTTAGAAAAATGTCGCCTGAGAGGGGATATGATAACATTATACAAATATATTCGGGGCCAATACAAACCATTGTGTGGAAATCTATTCACAAACCGGACTTGACATAGGACACGAGGCCATGCGTTTAGACTGGAAGAAAGAAGATTTCATCTAAGGCAAAGGAAAGGTTTTTTTTTACTGTAAGAACAATCAGGATGTGTAATTCTCTGCCTGAAGAAGTGGTTTTATCAGAGTTCATACAGATGTTCAAACAGCTACTAGATGCATACTTGCAAAAACAGAATATTCAAGGATATAATCTTTCAATGTAGGGTAATAACTGCTTGATCCAAGGATAAATCTGACTGCCATTCTGGGGTCAAGAAGGATTTTTTTCCTAGCTTGTTGCAAAATTGTGCTTCAAACTGTTTTTTTTTATTTTTTGCTTTCTTTTGGATCAACAGCAAAAAACAAATGTGAGGTAGGCTGAACTTGATGGACGCAAGTCTCTTTTCAGCTATGTAACTATGTAACTATGTAACAAACATTATTTTTCACGAGTGTTTAAGGAAGATAGAGTACATAGAACTTGGGTCAACAGAAGTCAACAAAAAAGACAGCATAGACTTATTTCTAGACCTTAGAGTGGCAGAGCTTAACGTATAGAAATCAGAGAATAGGAAAATTCATGGTAAGTAGACAAACCAAGGTCAAGATAAGGAATAATCAGAGGTATTAGCCAGGTCACAATAACAAAATAGGATAAAAAAGCAACAAAACACAGGTCAGGGATTCAGAGGTACTCAAAGCCAAAAATCTAGCCGAGGTCAAACCAGAAAATACAAAGAACTGAATAAGGGATGCACTTAACTGGGAACTATAACACAAACCACAATAGGGCACAGAACTACTGGTGAAATAGGTTTAAATAGGGTTATAATTTAATACACAAAAATAGGATAAGCGCTAGAAATGTCAACTTATTAATATAATTATTATTATTGCCATTTATATAGAGCCAACAGATTCCGTAGCGCTTTACAATATTATTAGAGGGGGGATTTAACTATAAATAGGACAATTACAAGAAAACTTACAGGAACAATAGGTTGAAGAGGACCCTGCTCAAACGAGCTTACAGTCTATAGGAGAGGAAATAGCAATCAAATAAGGTGGGAGTGAAGCAGAGCTGGAGGATAGAGTAGAGTGATGCTCTTTAGGAGAGAGCAAGAGACAGGTATGTGAGGTAGGAAAAAGGACAAATGAGTCATTTGTTACATGTGAGTTTACAGAGAAAAAGGCTCTATTTCAACTGTCAAAAGTAAAGACAAATAAGTCAATGGGATCTAATGGAATACACCCAAAGTTATTAAGAGAGCTTAGTGGTGTACTAGCAAAACCAACAACAGATTTATTTAACCAATCATTGCTAACAGGAGTATTCCCAGAAGATTGGAAGTTAGCGAATGTTGTGTCCATTCACAAGAAAGGTAGTAGGGAGGAGTTGGGCAACTATAGGCAAGTAAGCCTTACTTCAGTAGTGGGGAAAGTAATGGAAACCATGTTAAAGGATAGGATTGTTGAACATCTAAAAACACATGGATTTCAAGATCAGAGACAACATGGGTTTACTTCAGGGAGATCATGCCAAACTAATTTTATTGATTATTTTGATTGGGTAACTAAAATAATAGATCAGGGTGGTGCAGTAGACATTGCTTACCTAGATTTCAGTAAGGCTTTTAACACTGTTGCACATAGAAAGCTTATCAATAAAGTGCAATCTTTAAGTTTCGATTCCAATATTGTTGAATGGGCAAGGCAGTGGCTAAGTGACAGGCAACAGAGGGTTGTAGTCAATGGAGTATATTCAATGCATGGGCTTGTCACCAGTGGGGTACCTCAGGGATCTGTACTTGGACCCTTTCTCTTTAATATTTTTATTAGTGATATTGCAGAAGGTCTTGATGGTAAGGTATGTCTTTTTGCTGATGATACTAAGATATGTAACAGGGTTGATGTTCCAGGAGGGATAAGGCAAATAGCAAATGATTTAGGTAAACTAGAAAAATGGTCAGAATTGTGGCAACTGACATTTAATGTGGATAAGTGCAAGATAATGCATCTTGGACGTAAAAACCCAAGAAAAGACTACAGAATATTTGATAGAGTCCTAACCTCAACATCTGAGGTAAGGAATTTAGGAGTGATTGTTTCTGATGACTTAAAGGTAGGCAGACAATGTAATAGAGCAGCAGGAAATGCTAGCAGAATGCTTGGTTGTATAAGGAGAGCTATTAGGAGTAGAAAGAGGGAAGTGCTCATGCCATTGTACAGAACACTGGTGAGACCTCACTTGGAGTATTGTACGCAGTTCTGGAGACCGTATCTCCAGAAGGATATTGATACTTTAGAGAGAGTTCAGAGAAGGGCTACTAAACTGGTTCATGGATTGCAGGATAAAACTTACAAGGGAAGGTTAAAGGAACTTAACATCTATTGCTTGGAGGAAAGACGAGACGGGGGATATGATAGAAACATTTAAATAAATAAAGGGAATCAACACAGTAAAGGAGGAGACGATATTTAAAAGAAGAAAAACTACCACAACAAGTGGACATAGTCTTAAATTAGAGGGGCAAATGTTTAAAAATAATATTCAGAAGTATTACTTTACTGAGAGGGTAGTGGATGCATGGAATAGCCTTCCAGCTGAAGTGGTAGAGGTTAACACAGTAAAGGAGTTTAAGCATGCGTGGGATAGGCATAAGGCTATCCTAACTATAAGATAAGGCCAGGGACTAATGAAAGTATTTAGAAAATTAGGCAGACTAGATGGGCCGAATGGTTCTTATCTGCCATCACATTCTATGTTTCTCTGGAAGGTAATAAGCTTTCCTAAAGAGATGTTTTTTAAGGCACTTTTTAACCAGTTGAAGACTAGGGGAGAGTATGATGACGGTAGGTAGGCTATTTCACAGGAAGGGAGCTTAGAATATAAAAGTGTAGACTGTAAACACCTAGTATAAGGGATACCCTCAACATCATATATAGAAGAGAAACAGAAAAATATTAAACACAATGCATGTTTTGCTAAAATACTGAGTCCAAAGAGTCCACTATATGCTTCAGGTATTCTTAATTGGTAACCGTCTGGACCATAGGAGTGCGCAGCCTATTGTATAAGGGTGTGCACCCTAAAGCAGAAACACACACGCCTCGTATATATATATATATATATATATACACATATATACACATACACATACATACACACACACATATACACACTGCTGTGTGTGTGAGGGTGCTGTGTGTGAGGGTGCTGTGTGTAGGTGCTGTGTGTGTGTGTAGGTGCTGTGTTTGAAGGCACTGTGTGTGTGCAGGCGCTGTGTGTGGAGGTGCTGTGTGTGTGTGTGGGTGCTGTGTGTGTGGGCGCGCTGTGTGTGAAGGCGCTGTGTGTGTGTGAAGGTGCTGTGTGTGTAAGGGTGCTGTTAGTGTGTGCTGTGTGTGTGTATGTGTAAGGGTGCTGTTAGTGTGTGTGTGTGAGGGTGCTGTGTGTGTAAGGGTGCTGTTAGTGTGTGCTTTGTGTGTGTGGGTGAGGGTGCAGTGTGTGTAAGGGTGCTGTTGTGTGTAAGGGTGATGTTAGTGTGTATATGTGTAAGGGTGCTGTGTTTGTAAGGTTGCTGTTAGTGTGTGCTGTGTGTGTGTAAGGGTGCTGTGTGTAAGGGTGCTGTTAGTGTGTGCTGTGTGTGTGTGTGTATGCGTGAGGGTGCTGTGTGTGTAAGGCTGTTGGTGTGAGGGTGCTGTTAGTGTGTGTGTGTGTGTGTGTGTGTGTAAGGGTGTTTTTAGTGTGTGCTGTGTGTGTATAAGGGTGCTGTGTGTGTGTGAGGGTGCTGTGTGTAAGGGTGCTGTGTGTGTAAGAGTGTTGTTAGTATTAGGGTGCTGTTAGTATGAGGGTGCTGTTAGTGTGTGTGTAAGGGTGTTGTGTGTATGGGGGCTGTTAGTGTGTGTATGTGTAAGGGTGCTGTGTGTGTGAAGGCGCTGTGTGTGTAAGGGTGCTGTGTGTGTGAGGGTGCTGTGTGTATGGGGGCTGTTAGTGTGTGTATGTGTAAGGGTGCTGTGTGTGTGAAGGCGCTGTGTGTGTAAGGGTGCTGTGTGTGTAAGGGTGTTGTTAGTGTGATGGTGCTGTTAGTGTGTGTGTGTGCTGTGTGTGTAAGGGTGATGTATGTGTGCTGTATGTTTGTGTGTAATGTGTGGGGGCCGTTTAGTTAATACCCCCCCTCCCTTCTTACCTTATGTAGGGAGGGGGGATCATGCTCCTGCCTTCCATGGTGGTCCAGTGGAGAGTGAACTCTATCCCCCAGTGGGGCTAGAGTTCACTCTCGCAAGATCTGAGCATTTCCGCGGTAACCGCGGCAATGCTCCGACCGGGCGAGAGGAACCCGGCGGAGCTGCTGACAAGAGCTCCCCAGGTCCTCTCCTGCCTCCCTCCCTGTGGGTCGGTGAGGGAGATCTTTGATCTCCCTCACCGGCCCACGGAGGGAGGCACATAGCGCGTGCCGCGGGGATTAGGGTGTGCCTAGGCACACCCGGCACACCCTGTGCGCATGCCTATGGTCTGGACTCCAAAATGCTTGTAGATATATAAAATAAGGCAAAAGATAACCGGTCATAGCGCAGATTGTTTGGTGCTTGGTTGGAGACATACAACAGAGACATAGGGCTAGCACTCACATTTAGTAAAGCTATAGACCAGCTCTAGGTAAAACAGCGGAACAATCCCCCCCGATGGATATCTAGCTCTATAGGTCAGTTTCACAGAATACAGATTGATATATGAAATACAATATAAAAGCAAACAATAGTGCTTTACTGTCTTAAAATCAATAAACAGTCAAATAAATGGTAGTTAGCTCACATTTAGTAGAGCAATTGACACCGCTCAAGAGTAAGTGCTTGGGTGGTATGATTCCTATCAGGGATATAATGTAGAGTATACTTTCCAGGGATATGGTGCAGTAGATAACTGATGTGCAAGGAACAATAAAAAATAAAATAACTTAAAACCATAAAAAGTGTACTAAATGGTCATAGACATTGTTAGGGTGAATGCCAAATATACTTTAATGCTAAACACAAATGAGTTTAAAAAACTCAACGCATAACACCAGAGAGGTAAGTATAAGAATTTGTTTTTAGCATTAAAGTATATTTCTTGAGCGGTGTCTACTGCTTTACTAAATGTAAGTTAAGTACCATTTATTTTACTGTTTATTGATTTTAACACAGTAAAGCACTATTGTTTGCTTTTATATTTTATTTCATATATCTATCTGTATGCTGTGAGACGGATTTAAAGAGCTACATATCCATCAGTGGAGATTTTACTGCTGTATGCTATTTTATCTAGAGCTGGTCTATAGCTCTACTAAATGTGAGTGCTAGCCCTATATCTCTGGTGTGTGTCTTCAACCAATCACCAAACTATCTGCACTATCAGCGGTTATTTTCTGCGGTATTTCATATATCTATAAGCATTTTGGAGTCCAGACAGTTACCAATTAAGAATACCTGAAGCAGATATTGGACTCTTTGTTCTCAGTATTTTGGTGCAACATGTATGGTGTTTAATATTTATATATGGTTAGATAGGGTTTGATTGGTCCACTACACCACTGTGACCCCAAAAAGTTCAAGAACAGGGTCGCCTGGGTGATGTGACCAATCACGGACTGGATGTGACGTTGCACATGGTGAGTGTTGTGACAGAGCTCCAGGTCTCCGACCGAGTACCTCCGCCAAGTCTGCTTCCTTGTAGCTATCAGGGACCCTGGAGCACTTAAGACCCAGTCGCAGAGGCTTGAATGGGATCACTGAGGGCCTTTCCACCCTAGACCAAACACCAGGCGACACTTAGTGAAGGTTAAAACAGCAACTAACTTTAATAGACATAGAATACACATTTAAGCCCCCATCAGCCTCATTTACATACAATAGGGTACATAGAGCAATATAGTACAAAGAAGTCAGACAATAGCAAGGGCTGATGGGAGACTGAGGAGGGACAGAACACCTAGTTTAAACTGGTCTGGCAGTGTCCCTAGGACAACTCGGTGCTGTGAAAACAATAGGACAGGAAAAAGGGGGAGGAGGAGAGGCACAAACAAGTAATACATTCAACATACCCTGCACAAATAACAGACACAGGGTGACTTAAACACAAAAGGAATCTGGGGATCCACACATGGTGTCTGTCTTCCATTCCCAGTCAAGTGTATTTAAGGATGCACCCCGACAGCAGACAGCGTCCATTTACTGTACGGAAGTGGGGCGCTTGACATTCTCCAGGAGTTCTGGACCTGCGTTGCCAATTAGGTAATTTCTACTACAGCTGAATCTGGGGTGAGATTGGCATTCTGGATTTTGTATGTCAGGTGTGATGTCTTGGGGCGCAGTTTATCAATGTGTTAAACCTTGGTGGGACACAGATAGTCACACCTTCTGAATGTCAGATTAGGAAGAATGAAGATTCCATTAGGCCGTAGTAAAAGGCATAATTCATTACTGTGTTTGGGACAGGGAGAAGAGGAATGTCACGACCAGTGCCTTTTAAATAACTCTCTGAGACACAGGGATATTCTGTTCAATAAACCCTCACCCTAACTGAGCCCGTATTCTGTCTATTCAGCCAATCAGAAAACAGATAAAATTCAAATCACAAAATGCACACATAGGAATAGACTTAAATAAAAATAAATTAAAACATGTCCTATGGAATGCCGTCTTCCTAAAAAGCAAAGTAGGCAGGTTCCACGACTTTCGTACAAATATTTCATATTCTCTACATTTTAACGTAAGTGGACTTGGCCATGAATGACATATGTGAGTCATTTTATCAATACTCTGGGGTAAATAACCTATTTATAGATATAATAAATAAAAAATATATCTCATATCATGTTGCCGTAAGGGGAGGTGCCATGCATACCTACGCCGCAAGACGAGGCATTCACTCCATGCCATCTCAGAAAGCTTCAATGAAAAACTGGTGTCTGGTATAACCAGAGTCTGGCATGATACCTAGGGCCCTGTATGGTGAATTGTGTAAAAAGTGTTATTAATCTGTATTTTAGAACACTGGATAATGTTCTATCGCTTCACATTTACCTTCATGATGAATCTGTAAGATTTCAAAGCAACCTTTCAATACTCCATTATCCTTTCATCTACTATACGCTGTTATATGAACATATTGCAGCCTGTTCTATTAAACGGATCCATTGTGGTCAATCAGGTTGAATAAAAGTGGAAATTGAAATGAATTTACAGAAGCATATTTTTATTTATTTTCTGCCTTTACAAAAGTATTATCATTTTTCACATTGTGTATCCATCTAAAGTTTTGCTCAAATGCAATTTTATCTAGACTGGAATGAGACCTTCTCGCAAGAATCTTTATACGCTAAGCGCATTCTCCGCGAGAAAGAAAACAGTGATTAACAGAAAGTCAATTGTCATTCAAGCTCTTTAGAAATATTCCCATTAAAGATAAAGCCAATTTTAATTAGATGAAGTATCCAATTACCGTAATTAGATTTTTTTTTTTTAAATTCACATCATGAAGATGACCCTTTTAAAAAGGGTTACCGGAATAATTAGTATATTCATATTAAGCAAAATGTATTGGGTAATATTTATACCCATAAGACGAGGAACACTACGCATATTTCACCTTTGGGAGAGCTGCAAATGTTTTGGCAGCAATATGAATATTTATAGACAAGTGTGTGCTTTAGCAAGATTATGTGTAAAACCATTTATATACCCACAAATTTCAACCCAAGGGTAAAGTATACATAAAATGCAGCTCCGAGATTATGGATATGCAAAGTTTAATTTAAACAGCAAATTTATATCCCTTCTTTTAATTAATTTAAGCTGACGACTTTTCAAAGTTGGGAGTAAAAGAAATCTGAATGATTATATAACGCAGTTTGCAATTGTGAATCAAGGCATCAGTCTGTTAATATCTGATGTTCAAACGCACATTTTGCATTAAATAATTTTATAGCTAAAAATATTTATTTAATAACCTCGAGACTGAGAGTCTTGAGTGAAACGATAGGGTGTTTTTTTATTTTTTTTTAAAGATTTTCCTCATTCTGTTCTTAGACAGAGCAGTGACCTAATTGCAGCTGGGGAAAATAGTCTAATGGATAATGTTATTTGTCCAGGAAGTAAGAAAGACGACCACGATTGGTGGTTTCAGATATTCTTAAACCAAGCTTCCTTCTTAGATATTTCTCAGGCTCACAATGTCGCAACGATGGGAGTCTGCGCCAGCTCCCATCGTTCTAAAGCTTCCCTCTATCGATCGTGACAATACACATAATGTAACCAAACATTTTAATAAAAGCTGATGGCTGGACAGAGAAATATTTACCCATCAACGTATTGATTTGTCACTATCGATTTGACGATATATCCTTCATATTGCGCATATAATATTAAACAATGACATCATGTGCTTTCATATATTACCGAGGGATGGTAAATTCCTTAATTAATGCTGACATATGCACTGTGTACCCAGCCACAAATATGGAATGCAAATCCCATGACCCCCAGCCATTTACTGGTTATAGTAAGGAATTGGCATTACTTGGGCGTGAGATTTTTAAAATATATTAAATGAGTTGGTTCAGAAGTTGATATTTACAAAAAAAATTGATTTTTTTTTTGTTTGTGAAAATCCAATCAGTGTTAAATAAAGGGATTTTGCGTAATAAATCGGTGAGGTGAATTGACTGTTAATGCACTAACGTTCAATTCTGCTCATACATCATGGTTGCAGAGTTTATTCCCAGTAGAGTTAGCATCTATCGCCAATAGGAGAACTTGAATACATCCTTCCTGGTGCGACAGTATGTGTGTGAGACACGCTTGTTATTATTTTCTCAGAGAATTTAAGGTATGTGGGTAAATATGTTGGACTAAATCAATACAAACAATTTAATTTGAATTTTCTACAGAACCTACAGCTATTTACCACAACCCATCCCTGCAGTGACTGGCCCATCTTATTACCCATCTTTCTCCTGTCCTATCAGTGAGCCCAGTTTGGGTAGAAATCCACATTATCAATGTTTCCAGACGTGAAGAGCTGGGTTTATGTCAAACTGCTCTAATGAGGTTTGGTAAAAAGACAAAGAATAGAGCACAGACACCCATAGCCTATGTGCGCCCAATACTGTAGTGATTATATTGCTTAGAGTTTCCCTTTAATTAAGTAAATGAAAGATTTTACTTCAGAAATGGCTAGAAAATTAATTTGAAAATAACGCATTGCACAGCGCCAATATAAACATCTCTCTCGTGATCTGTTTGTTAACAGGACTGTACAAACAGCGGTGGAACTACCGTTGGTGCAGCCATTGCGGCTGCACCAGGGTCCCCACATTAAGGTGGCCCACCAGGTGTCCCATTTAGTTCGGGCCACCCAGTGGGCATTTGTCAGCAGGGGCCAGGTCAAATGCTGTGGCCCTTTCACAGCGAGAACAGGCGCACTTCTTTTCGGCAGCCTGGAAGCAAGTGATAGCTGGTCACTTACTCCACAGGGACCAGAACGGGGCGGAGGGAGCAAAGTGAAGGCGTCTATGCAGGAGAGCAGAAGACAGAGAGGAGAGGGGGCTGGGCGAGAGAGCAAGCCCTAAGCCACCTGACTGGACCCCAGGTAAGCCACCATCCAGCACCAAGGTAGGAATCTGGAGGGTGGCTGTAAAAGTGTAAATTTTGACCTGCATTTAAATCTATATGATTGTCAGTGTGTATGTGTGTGTGTGTGTGTGTGTGTGTATGTCTGTCAGTGTGTGTGTCTGTGTGTATCTTTATGTCTGTCATTATCTGTATGTGTGTCAGTGGGTGTGTCTGTCTGTATCTGTATGTTTGTCAGTGTGTATTGTTTATCAGTATGTTTGTCAGTGTGTATATATGTCTGTCAGTGTGTGTGTCTGTGTGTATCTGTAAGTCTGTCATTATCTGTATGTGTGTCAATGTGTGTGTGTGTATATGTATGTCTGTCAATGTGTGTGTGTGTGTGTATCTGTATATGTATATGTGTCATTGTGTATATCTGTATGTGTTTCCATGTGTTGGTGTGTATGTAGTGTATGTATGTCTGACAGTGTGTGCGTGTATCTGTATGCGTTTCTGTGTGTGAGTGTATCTTTATGTTTGTTAGTGCGTGTCTCTGTGTATCTGTAGTGAGCTAGTGCATGTGTCCATGTATCTATATGTTGTCAGTATGTATCTGTATGTTTTTAGTGTGTATCTGTATGTTTGTATATGCGTGTGTCAGTGTGTGTAGTGTATTAAAGTATCTTTCTATCTGTATGTGTGGCAATGTGTGTAGCTGTGTGTCTGTATCTACATATGTGTCAGGGTGTGTGTGTGTGTGTGTGTGTGTGTGTCTGTATGTGTGGGTGTGTGTGTCAGTGTATGCCAACAATACACACAAATAAACCCCCTGCATTAAAACTTCAACGCTACATACAAACACACTCCTGCATTCAAACGTCAAAACTATATACAAACACACCTGTCTATTAAACACCAAAATTAAATATAAAAATGCCCCTGCATTCAAAAACCAAGACTACACATAAATGCATGCTTGCATTTAAAAATAAACACTACATACAAATACACCCCCTACATTCACACACACGCCATATAAACACATGCTTACATTCAAACACACAAATACTGCACAGTGCTACATTCAACCCTGCAAGCATGGGAAAATGTTAGATCCCCAGCTGTCAAAGCATTGTGAGAGAGGTACGACGGACAAGGATATATCCTATGGCCACCCTTGTGATATAGGGGCCCAAAATAATTCTTGTACGTTAGTTCCACCACTGAGTACAAAAGTCATCTATTGAGAGATGAAGAAAAGAGATTACCTCTACATCACAGAAAACGTATATGTGCAACTCTTTTTGGAAGGCTTGTTTTGTCAGATCTGCACAGGTATTTTAAAAGTTCTGTAGGTGCACTATGTAGGCTTGAAGTTTGGGTTAGTAGCTATACTGGGTAGATTTACATTATTAAAGGGACACTCCAGACTCACACACACGTTAGGCGCACTATGTAGGTTAGGTTACAGTTAGTTATACTGGGTGGGTTCATATTATTAAAGGGGCACTCAAGGCTCCCGCACACGTTAGATGCACTGTGTAGGTTAGGCTACAGTTAGTTATTCTGGGTGGATTTATATTATTAAAGGGACACTCCAGGCTCTCAAACACGTTAGGTGCACTGTGTAGGTTAGGTTACAGTTAGTTATATTGGGTGGGTTTATATTAATAAAGAGACACCCTTGGCTCCAACAAGTGGCGTACTATGGGGGGGACGGGGGGGGGCGGTCCGCCCCGGGTGCCACCAGGGTGGGGGGTGCCATGACCAGCCCCCCCATGCTGCAGCCGCCCGAGCGCTCTGTATAGAGCCTCAGGCGGCTGCAGCTTTGCCCGGGCGGTGCATCCATGAGGGCGGACTGCACCGCCCGGGTGAAGCTACTGGGACGAGCTAGAAGAAGGGAACATTAACCTCAATGTACGTTGACTATCAGGTCCTAGAATGCTCGGCATGACTGCGTGTGTACAGGTAAATCCTACGTCATTTCATTGTGCTTTATATAACTCTGTGCTGTTAAACTAATACGGGGATTATTTAATAATCAATTAATTATAGTGAACTGGCAAATCAAATGACAAAATACAGACATGGAGCCAAGCTGAGATTATAGCTGTCTTGCAGGTTATTTTTGCCATTTTAGCTTTTTTTCAGAAAATTTACAAATTGATTTTCTGTTCATCAGTCTGGTTTTTAGCGAAAAAACCCACAGTGTTTTCTGACAAAAACTGCTACATTTCACTGTATACTTGCTTGACCTCTACTGGTACATATTGATCACTGCAGGGAATTGTTTCTTCAGTGACCTTATTTCACACAGTTTTACCTTAGATTGCCGTACTACTGTTAAAGTGAGAGGCGCATTGTGTGAACTGAAACAGCTCTGTAAAGAGGAATGGTCAAGAATTACTCCTGACCGTTGTGCACGTCTGATCTGCAACTACAGGAAACGTTTGGTTGAAGTTATTGCTGCCAAAGGATGTTCAACCAGTTATTAAATCCAAGGGTTCACATACTTTTTCCACCTGCACTGTGAATGTTTACATGGTGTGTTCAATAAAAACATGGAAACAATTCATTCTTTGTGTGTTATTAGTTTAGGCAGACTGTGATTGTCTATTGTTGTGACTTAGATGATGATCAGATCACATTTTATGACCAATTTGTGCAGAAATCCATATCATTCCAAAGGGTTCACATGCTTTTTCTTGCAACCGTATGTCTGTATGCATGCATGTCTGTCTGTATGTATGTCTATGTATGTCTGTATGTCATTATATATATATGTATGTCTGTATTCAGGGGAGGTGCTACCTTAGGAAGGGGCACCGCCAGGAGCGCCGGCCCCACTCATGCTGCAGCCGCCCGAGCGCTCTGTAGTGAGCCTCAGGCGGCTGCAGCTTTGCCCAGGTGGGTGCGTCCATGAGGGCGCACCGCACCGCCTGGGCGCAGCATGAGGAGAGGGGTTGACAGAAGGTCAGCGCTCAGCACTCCCTCCTGTCACTCCCTCACTGTAGCGTGGCCGAGCTCTGTATGGTCCGCAGGTACAGGGAGCATCTGTCTCCTGTACCCGGCCGGACTAACAGGAAGTGCACACTCAGCTCGGCCACACTACAACAGAGGTAGGGGGGATAAAGAAATTGGGAGGTGGGAGGAGAAGGAAATTGGGAGGGGGGGAGAAGGAAATTGTGAGAGGGAGGGGGGGAGGCATGAAATTGGGGAGGGGGAGAAGGGAAATTGGGAGAGGGAGGGGGAGAAGGAAATTGGGATGAGGGGAGAAGGAATTGGTGAAGGGGAGGAAGGAAATTGGGAGGGGGGGAGAAGGAAATTGGGAGGGGGAGATAAAGAAAGATGGGGGATAAAGAAAGATTGGGGGGGATAAATAAAGATTGGGAGGAGGGAGAAGGAAATTGGAGAGGGGGGATAAAGAAAGAAATTGGGAGATGGAAATTGGAGAGGGGGGATAAAGAAAGAAATTGGGAGATGGAAATTGGAGAGGGGGGATAAAGAAAGAAATTGGGAGGGAGAAGGAAATTGGAGGGGGGAAAGAAAGATTGGGAGGGTGGATAAAGAAAGAATTGGGAGGGGGAGAAGGAAATTGGAGAGGGGGATAAAGAAAGATTGGGAGGGGTATAAAGAAAGAAATTGGGAGTGGGAGAAGGAAATTGGAGAGGGGGGGATAAAGAATGATTGGGAGGGGGGATAAAGAAAGAAATTGGGAGGGGGAGAAGGAAATTGGAGGGGAATAAAGAAAGATTGGGGGATAAAGAAAGAAATTGGGAGGGGGAAGAAGGAAATTGGAGGGGGGAGAGAAGGAAATTGAAGGGGGGGGAGAGATTTACATTCATCACACACAATGCACCTTGCACAGAGAAAAACACACAATGCATTACACACACTGCATTACACACACAGACACACATACACAAGCAATGCAACCGTTACACACAATGCATCCCTTACACACACAGAAGCACACAATGCATTCATAACACACACTCAATGCACCCCTTACACACACTCAATGCATCCCGTACATACACAGAAACACACCTTGCAGCCCTTACACATACAAACACAGATTCATACAATGCATGCCTTACACACATATCAGGACATCCCCTACACACTCCACCCCCTGTGAACTAACTCATTGGTGGAACATGAAGGTGGACCCTGGGACCCAGACCTTGAGCTGTGTAAAGGGCCCCCAAAAAATGGAGCTGCTTCCCATTCTCCCAGAACATTGATTTTTGTGACCACAGTTACAAACCGCCACCAAAGAGCCTGTTCTACACCAGACCAGTGGAGCCAGACTGCAGCTAGAGCCCATCATCATCCTCATCTGGTTGTAAGTAGGCAATCTAGTATATTATTTGTGGCACTAATCTCTAATTTACCTCACATTAAAGAAACACTATAGTCCCCAGAACCACTGCAGCTTAATGTAGTGGTTCTGGTGTCTATAGCCTGTCCCTGCAGGCCTTTTAATGTAAACACGGCGGCACTGCAGCACTGGCGTTAGATAACATGACAAATCTTATGGGTGGGACATTGTGATGTCACATGAGGGGGCAGCACACTTTACTTTTGCCTAGGGCGGCAAAAATCCTTGCACCGGCCCTGCCTGTCACTCAGCCACTGCCTTACCCATTACCCTTACCCAATATTGGAATCCAAACTTAAAAATTGCAGTTTATTGATGAGCCTTCTATGTGGAACAGTGTCAAAAGCCTTACTGAAACCTAGGTAAGCAATGTCTAATTCACCTTTATGTATATGAGATCAGGATATTGCAGATGCAGAGTGTGCAGAAATAGGAGTACAGTGTAAGCAAAAAAACAAAAAAAAAACACCATCAAGGCTTGATATCCAGCTCCTTTAGATATAAATTTACATTTTGATGCAGTGTTCAACTCAGAAAACAAGAGCAGAAATACATCACTTTCTGCTTAGTCTGCCTCTGCCTGACCTCTGTCTAACATTTGTTACTGCATTACCTGGCATACCCTTACGCATACACTAACTCTTTATATCTTGAAGTAGAGTCATTTATTGGAATGAATAGACTGAGTAAGCATTTTACAAAACACTTGCTTTTTAATAATGCTCACTGACTTTATAGTGAAATACCCGTTCATTACTTATGAAACCAATTTATTTTACATTAATAGGTTCTGAAAAGAACCTCTGGACCTTGGAAAAGGAGACGTGACTGTGTCAGTAGATTAATAGTAGATTAATAATGGCAAGGCACTGGGTGTTGCTCTCTCTGTGTTGCTGCTGTTCGTATAACCAAACGCCACGAGCTGGAGAAAATGGTGGCCATCTTGTCGCAAGAACGCAGGCAGCAGGACTTGGTCGTCGAGTGTCTGGAACTCTAAGTCGGACACTTGACCGTGCAAACACTGGTTAATCCATACGAAAGCCTGCTTCTTTCTGAGACAAGCCATGAGTCCGCTGTTCAGTACCTATGAGCCAGGGGAACCGTTCGTACTTTTGTTTGTTTTGGAACTCCCAAAATTGGCCAACCGGTACCACTGAAACTATGGAACTAATTTGGGCATACGCCTCATGAGCGGTCGGTCAAAACTTTACCCCGGTGGCGATTCGACTGTATTTGTGGAATCTGAGCGCTATTTGGACAACTTGGGCACACAGATCCAGGCTATCCGTCTATATCATATTTGTGAGGGTCCCTATATGTATTTTATGTCTTTTATGCCTAGTCATGACACTGACACTGTAATTTGTAACCATTTTGTGGGAGTGTTCTGGGCGTGTTTTCCTGCCTCCTGATTTTGCATATAAGTGGGCCAGTTGGCCAGATTAAACATATTCGTTTCTACCCTTCATCAAGTCTAGGCTGATGTTTGGGGAACTTGGGCTATAATCACTACTGTGCTTGAGACTCAGGAGATTTATAACGGTTATACTCAGTCGGAGTAAAGGGGATCCGTTACACTGGTGGCAAGCGGTGGGATTCGTCTCCTGAATGGATGTCCCGAACTGAAAGAAAAAGTGAATGGCCCGGTGATACGAACTTATGAAACAAACGACGTTAAAGGAATTACCGGTAGCTCGAGGCAAAGTGGCAAGTAACAAACTGAAAGCCACAATAATTGCTGAACTGGTGGAGAGTGACCAAACATTAATGCAGAGATGAACAGCCCGACGGAGTTACAAAAGGATGTAAGAGAGAGACTCAGCATTGTGGGGCCCAATCCATCGCAAGACATCATTATGCAAATCATGGCTCAAGCGACAGAGGCACAGAGAGCTCGGGAGTCAAGAGCAGGATCACTGCAAGGGGATATAATATAAATAATAACTGATTTTTATCTCATCTGTCTTTGTATGCACTGTGACAATTTTTTTTCTCATACTAAATATGCCTTTATTAAAAGGACACAAAAGTCACCAAAACAACTTTAGCTTACTGAAGAAGTTTAGGGGTGTAGATCATGACCATGCAGTCTCAGGGGAGGTGTGGCTAGGGCTGTATAAACAGAAGCAAAAGTGATTTAACCCCTTAAGGGCTGAGCCAAATGTACACGTTGTGAACAAAACAAAACGTAAACAAAACCTGGCATTTGCGCTACATGTCTGTCCAACCGTAATTCACCTCTTTCATATTAAATGCACCCACCCTTATTATATATCATTTTATTCAGGGGAAACAGGGCTTTCATTTAACATCAAATATTCAGCTATGAAACATAATTTAATATGAAAAAAATGGGAGAAAATAAGAAATGTTGTTATTTATTTAGTTCTACATGACATTTTAACTGTCAATGTCATAATACTGTTTGCTTTTACTGCAGTAAAATACACATATTTGTATTCAGCAAAGTCTCACGTGTAAAACAGTACCCCCTATGTACAGGTTTTATGGTGTTTTGGAAAGTTACAGGGTCAAATAGGACATTACATTTGAAATTGAAATTCGTCAGATTAGTTACGTTGCCTTTGAGACTGTATAGTAGCCCAGGAATTAAATTTACACCCATAATGGCATACCATTTGCAATAGTAGACAACCCAAGGTATTGCAAATGGGGTGTGTCCAGTCTTTTTTAGTAGCCATTTGGTCACAAACACTGGCCAAAGTTAGCGTTAGTATTTGTTTGTGTGTGAAAAATGCAAAAAACGCCAAGTTTGGCCAGTGTTTGTGACTAAGTGGCTACTAAAAAAGACTGGACATACCCCATTTGCAATACCTTGGGTTGTCTACTATTGCAAATGGTATGCCATCATAGGGGTAATTTTCATTCTAGGGCTACCATAGGCAGGGCCGTCTTTAACGCGGGGCAAACGGGGCAGCTGGCCCGGGCCCAGTTGCTCCTGGGGGCCCAGAGCAGCTGCTCTGTGGGCCCCGCGATTTGCGGCTCCCGCACACTGAGGAGGCTCCCCGGGTGGCCCATGCACTAAGGGCCACCCGGGAGTATGTGTCAGCAGGGGCCCGGTCGGGCGCTGTGGCGCTTAAACAGCACAACCGGGCCCCTCTTCCGGTTCTGCAGCCGGCTGGGAGGAGTGACGTCACTTCCTCCCACCGGAGACAGCCGCGCGGGAGGAGGAAGGCAGGGAGGAGGGGAGTTCAAGAGGAGAACTCCCATCTGCCTCAGCCTGCCACTGGACCAGGGAAACCACCCTCCAGGAAAAGGTAAGAACCTGGAGGGTGGCTAAATGTATGTCAGTAGGTCTGTGTGTGTGTGTGTATGTCTGTGTGTATGCCAGTATGTCTGTGTGTGTGTCAGTGTGTGTGTGTGTGTGTGTGTGTGTGTGCCAGTATGTGTGTGTGTGTCAGTATGTCTGTGTGTGTATGCCAGTATGTCTGTGTGTGTGTGTCAGTATGTCTGTGTGTATGCCAGTATGTCTGTGTGTATGCCAGTATGTCTGTGTGTGTATGCCAGTATGTCTGTGTGTGTGTGTATGCCAGTATGTCTGTGTGTGTATGTCAGTGTGTGTGTGTGTCAGTATGTCTGTGTGTATGCCAGTATGTCTGTGTGTGTGTGTGTGTATGTAGGTATGTCTCTGTGTTTGTGTGTACTTGTGTGTCAGTATGTCTGCCAGGATATATTTGTGTGTCAGTGTATGTGTGTGTCAGTATGTATCTGTGAATGTTTTAATGTCTGTCTGTGTGTATGTGCCAGTACGTCTGTCTGTGTGTATGTCAGTATGTCTGTGTGTGTATGTAAGTATGTCTGTGTATGTGTGTGTCAGTCAGTATGTCTGTCAGTGTATGTGTCTGTGTGTATGTATGTATGTATGTCTGTGTGTGTGTGTGTGTGTGTGTGTGTCAGTATGTCTGCCAGGATTTATTTGTATGTCAGCGTATGTGTGTCAGTATATATCTGTGAATGTTTAATGTCTGTCTGTATCAGCCATTACGTCTGTCTGTGTATATGTCAGTATGCCTGTGTGTGTGTGTGTGTGTATATATGTCAGTATGCCTGTGTGTGTGTGTCAATGTGTCTGTCAGTGTATGTGTCTGTGTGTTTTAGTATATCTGTCAGTGTATGTGTTTGTGTGTGTGTCAGTATATCTGTTAATGTATGTGTCTGTGTATGTATGTATGTCTGTGTGTGTGTCAGTATGTCTGCCAGTATATATTTGTGTGTAGTGACTGTGTGTGTCAGTATGTATCTGTGAATGTTTTAATGTCTGTCTGTGTGTGTATGTGCCAGTACGTCTGTCAGTGTGATTGCGGGTTGGACGTAATTGGGGGGTGAGGCAGTGGCAGGGACAGGGCCCATGGGGCCCAAGAAAATGCATTGCCCAGGGTCCTAATCATATTATAGACGGCCCTGTTCAGCTGTACCCCATGCAGCCACCGGTGGCACTGTGCTGGGAGAATGTGATTACTCTTCACTTCCTCTCAGCCTACAGAGCAGCGCATGGGAGAGAGAGAGGAGGAGGCATGATTTAATCTTACAACAAATCCAGTAAGCAAATCTTTATAAATTTGGGGGGATCAGCTCTGTTTCCACAGCTTATTGGTGTTTACTCTGATGTCTGTATTAATATTGAGGGATGTCTAAGTAATAACATCAGTGTGTGTCAGCAGGGCCAGCCGTTGGGGTGTGCAAGCTGTGCGATCACGCAGGGTGCCATGACAACAGAGGCGCCCGGCGGCCAACACAGCTCACAAGTTGGGGACACCAGCATATTCAATTTAAACGATTTGCTACATAGTGGTCCTTTAAATGTGTTGCAAAGTGCTGCACCATAAGCCTTCCTCTGTAGCCACACCCCCTCACTTCAAAAAAAATACTTCCTTGTCAAAAATGTATGCACTAAATTCATCCATTGACAGGGCTGAATGATCCAAACTCCAAAGCAACCTGCATTAGAAGGAGATGAGACATTTAGTAAGGATATCACTACCCATTTATAGTATTTATGACTGTCTGCAGCAAGGTTGCACATTAAAAGCTGTTCACTCATTCAGTGCTTTTGGGTCTGAGACTGTGTGCATACATTTGATAAGGATGTCTTTCTGACATGATGGGGCGTAGCTAAGGAGGCAGGCTTATGGTGAAGCATTCTGCTAAATATTTATTGGTGCCCAGAGTGTCCCTTTAAGAGCTGAACGCTTTTATATCCATTTATTGGCTTACTACTGCATTCTTGCACTTTTTTTTTTATTATACCTTCCCATAAAGAGATGTTAACTCCTTAACTAGATGACTGGCAAATATTCATTTTAACCTCATACATCGACTCTAATAGTGACTGTAACAGCTTTCACCGAGAACATAATCAAGAAGCTAAGTTCCACCCACAGTTCAACCATGACCCAATACAACCTCACCAAAATTGAGAAAAACCCTAGGCATCTTCAAGGACAAAAAGGTGACACTGAATTTCAAATTGAAATGTTCACCAATGCTGCTAAAAACATTATCTTGAATAAACAAATCAAGCAACTCCAAGCAGTTAAAACAACCCATGATTAGATGACTGTCTGCACAGAGCATTAAAGTGTGACAACATATGAAAACAGTCACATATTAGCCACTAGAATGTATTGCTATAGAAATGTATTGTAAATAAAAAATAAAATAAATCCCATTGTGCATTGTTTCCATTCTCTAAAAATATGAATTTATTTTTTCGGTATATTTTTAAAGTATGTATACCAGTAAATGCTAACCTTCAGCATGACAGTTATTGGAGACAGATGCATATAATAACAACCCACAATAACAGAGTTTATTTTTATTAAATGTTATCAGGCATCAGTGCATTACAAGAATATTATCGTTCTGCCATTGTTTGCTAGCCATCCTAGATGTTTTATTTGCAGATCACTTGGTTGATGGTGTTTGCTAGCCACATCTTTTATTATGTTGCTTATACACACTAGCTTTCTGACTTTCAAGTTTTTTGTTTGTTTGTTTGTTTTTTATAATGGGAATGCATGGTTTTGATTACTCTTACAAATTTGACCATAAAAGCAATGGCAAATTATTGTTCAGAATTAGAACACACTCTATTTTGCTTCTGCCATCCAAAACCACATAAATCTGGCTACTGATACACACCGTCTAATGACCGACTTGATGTAAAAGAAACACAAATGTATAATTACGGTTATTAGTGCGGCCATGACCTTGTCCAGGCAGCTTATCAGAACCGTTGTGTCAGGTTTATCAGATGTAGTGGATGTTATAATGGCATCTATGTAAAATATATGTTGACGTGTTGCGCTTTCTGACAGTTGCCATGAATGAAACACCTGTTTTTCTGTATTCGTTATTTGCACTGATCTTTTCAATTCATTTTACTGCAACGAAAAGCGTATATGACTGTAAGGGAATATAGGAACATAGATATACATATGTTAATGCCTCATGTACTTAGCATTGTTACATTTAATTCTTGTCTGCCATGAAACTGTTGACTTCTTTGCAGCATTGGGAGAAATATGTCATAATCATAAGTATGTACTTTGAAAGAGCGTTAAGTACTGTGCTTTGTGGGCTATATTGTACTGCTGGGCATGTCATTTATGAATAAATAGCAGCTTACATGCAATTATCACTCTGCGCTTTGCAGGTGATTATAGAAGTATTTAATGGACAGTTTAACACTTCAAATATACTTAATGTGTTTTACTTTCAAATTACCACCAAGGTATTAAAATTCATAAATGTTTCGTCATTTTCATGTCTTCAATCCCTTTGTTATTAGTTTTTCTATGTTATGTATTGAAGTATCTGGTATTTCATTTCTTACCACTGTGGGTATTGCAGTTTGACAACAAGCAGCTTTGTGTTACAACCTGTCATATATGCACTTTATTATATATTTAGATCTACTGGATGTTCTATCCATCAGCTTGGATATCTTCTAATCTAAAGATTCACTACTAGCCATTGCACTATTAGCCATTGGCAAGTGAAAATGCAGCCTTGCAAGTAGAATTTCACACCTGGTGAATATGCTATAACTTGCAGTGGCAAGTTACTTTCAAAGCATGGCTAGTAGCATAAGACTTCAAATTTTAAACCTTGGTTAAAACTGTTCGGGTTCAGATATCTCTGTGACAAAGTGCATTTTTAGATTTTTCTAGGTGTTTTCAGAGCTGGCTGACACCTGTTATTCCTACAATAATGTTGGAATTACTGAAGGGTTTTCAATTCAGAGCTGTAGTATACATTTTCTTTGATTGCCTTTCTATAAAATGTCACTTCTACCTAAGAATGTAGGTTCTCATGATACACTTGCATGACCACAATTGGCACTTTCATTACGTCTGGATGGTCTGTTAAAAAATGAATGATCTATCTGTGCTCATAAAAGGCCGTTACTTTACCAGTATTAACTTGCTGCAGCTCTTGGTAAGGTGATTGCTCACAGAATTATCTTGGTTCACAATTTTGCAATTTAACTCTGTTTTTTTTAATTCTTTTAAATTAGGTCCTAACTCTATACATAACTCTAATCAACTTATTTGACATAATACGAGTCTCCTAGTTAACCTAGATGCTGGGAGCCCTGTCATATGTGGCTGTGGCGGAACCAACCTCGCCTCTGTGCACTGGAGAAGCCTGGTTGCTCGCCTGCTCCCTTTAGACTATGGCCCTGCAGTTAAAACCGGTTATCTTCCCTGCTGAAAGGTTTATTCATGCCTTTCTGCAGGGGTGTTCGGTAGATTCAATCTACCGAACAAACTAACGAATGATTGACCACCTGGGAACTGGAGTGTGCCGCCAATTGACCTCCCAGAAGCAGCTTAATTGATAAACGCTGGGTGGCCTTTGTTCGTTTGCCGAACACGTGGCAGCGGCCATTTTAGCTCCCGAACGGCCAGTTGTGTTCAGCGCCCAAACCATGGAACTGAAAACGGACACTTAATTGCGTGAACACCGCTGAGCCGCCAGCCTCCTTACCTCTGCATTCGGTAATGGAACCGAATCACTGTTCATTCGGCAGTTTGACCATATGAGCAGCATCACCCCAGATAGCCATGCCATGGAGCATATTCGTGTAACGAAAGACTATGGAAAGACTTTGGCTCAGGGCCGGACTGGGATAAAAATTCGGCCCGGGCATTTTTTTATCACAGCGGCCCATTAAGAAGGGGGCGGGGCAGAGAGGGTGTGTTTTGTCATCACTCATGACAACACGCGCCCTCTCAAAGTGAGCATGTTGGTTCAATGCTCTTTCAGGGCAGACCATGCACAGAGCTCTGCTGAAGAGCTCTAGCATGAGAAAAAAGCCCTGTATTTGTTCTGCACAGTGCAAGCAAATTTAATAACATGCTTGCACTGTGTTTCCTTGCAACTTGTCTCTGGTGTCTCTATAAATGGATACCAGGAGACAAAAGGGCCAGGAAAGAGTATTGTGCATGTGTTTTGGAGCCTGCTTGTGGTATTGCGTGTGTGCAGAGTGAGCTGGTCGTGGTGTGGTATTGTGTAATAAGGTCGGTTTTAGTCGTGTTGTGTTTGTGGTGTAATGTAATGCATATGTGGCTAGGGGCTGTAGAGAATGTGTCTATAGGGGATGTAGCAAGTGTGTGTATACAGGCTATAGTGTGTGTGTGTGTGTGTGTATATACAGGCTATAGTGTGTGTGTGTGTGTGTGTGTGTATATACAGGCTATAGTGTGTGTGTGTGTGTGTGTGTGTGTGTGTGTTCAGGGAATGTATGGGTTTGCTTACAATGAATCTAGTGTGCGTATAGGGGATCCAGAGTGTGTGTGTGTGTGTGTGTGTGAAGGACCCAGACTACGTATAGGAGATCTAGTGAGCGTGCGTATATAACGGATTCAGAGTGTATATAGGGATCTAGTGTGTGTAGATGATTCAGAGTTGGGTAGAGGATCTAGT